ACCATGCTCCGCTAAAGTTTATTTTAATGGATCCCGAAAAGTATATTTTGTGGGGTGCCATGTGGTGGCTCAATAATGTATGCATTAGTGATATACAGTGTTTAAATATGTATGCATTATGTCAGGTGAAAGATGCTTGGTTTTTTTTATATGTTTATCTTCTTTTTGTCTGGTGAGAATTTTTTTTGTAGTAAGGACATTTAGACTACTAGCTTTTTGAAATATACAGTACATTATCATTATCTGTAGTCACCCTATAGATTTTAAATTATCTTTCTGGGCTTACATGTCATTGCTTCAAAGGGCTATTCCTGGTCACCATTCACACCACGTTACCTCCTCTGTTTGGCACAGCATATAATTATTGAACAGTGTTTTTAATGTTTGTTTCTTAGTTTCTCTTTTACTTCCTTTCTGTTGAATAGCAGAGTGAGTGACCAAGAGAGAGAGAGAGGCAAAGTAGCTTTATGGGTTTATAAGACCACAGAGAAAACAGTGCAGTGTATTAGCTGTTTATAAGTCAGTGTGGTACATATTCAGTATCTGTGCGTGTTGTTGCAAAGTCAGGAATTTGATGATGATGAGAATTTGATGATGATCACTGGCTCATCGGTGAAAAATTCTTTTAAAATTGGCCTGCCTACCTTAAACACCTCCCCGCGTTACAATTTATGGTTTGATGTTTTGTGCTTGTGTGGTGCTGGTGCTTGAACCTAGTGCTTCACCTTGACTGATTACACACCAGCACTGAGCTGTGCCCCTAGCCTCTTAACCACTTTTACGTGTGCAGTTCTGTAGTATCAAGTATGTTTATTATGTTTACTTTGTAATGTAATTGTCTCACTATTCATCTCTTAGAAGTTTTGGGTTTTTGTTTTTTGAGATAGGGTCTCCCTGTAAGCGTCTCACCGTATAGAGTAGGCTGGCCTTGAGCTCATGATCCTCCTGCCTCAGTCTCAAGTCAGTGAGATTACAGGCGTGTGCTACCACACCTGGCTTAGAAGGGTTTATTGTTTTTTTTTTTTTTTGGTGGTACTGGGGAGTGATCTCAGGGCCTTCATGTTGAATTATGTCTCCAGCTTTAAAAACAAAAGCAAAACCTTTTTTTAACACTAGATTCACCAAGTTGCCTAGGATAGACTTGAGCTCGAGATCAGCTCCTGCCTCAGTCACCGAGAGTGCTGGCATGTGCCACCAGGCCAGCTCCAGCTTAGATTTTTTTTAATCTTCTGAAATTTTCAGTTGAAACTGTACTCACTAAATGGTGATTTTTCCCTCTTTTGTCTCCTTGCCTTTGGCCACAACTATTCTTTTTCCTTTTGTCTACTTTTGGTATTGAATTGAACCCAGTCTTCATGCATTGTTGTGTAAGGCTAAATAATATTCCATTCTATGTATGTGTTACGTTTTATTTATTCATATGCTCATAGATACTTGAGTTTCTTCTGCCTTTTGGCTATTGTGAATAATCCTAAGGATTATTTTGTACATGGATGTACAAAATTTCTTTGAATCTTTTCAGTTTTTCCTGGTGTGTATCCAGAAGCTAAGCTAGAAGTGCTAGCTCATAATGGTATATTAGTCCATTTTCTGTTACTATAATGAAATCTTCAAGCTTGGGTTTATAGCTGTGAAAGGTCTGGATCTGTTGCCAGAGAGAGACAGTATGACAGGAGGAGAAAAGGCTTTATTAGCAACAAGTTGGCCTGTTAGAAGATGGAAGACAGCCATACATGGTGGTGCATGCTTGTAATCCCAGCAGTCTGGGAGGCTGAGGTAAAAGGGTTGCAAGTTTGAGCCCATCCTGGGCAACTTAGTGAGACCCTGTCTGAAAATAAAAGGGCTTGGGATGTAGCCCAGTGTGAATGCTGTAGGTTCAATCCCTAGTTCCACCACCAAAAAGCGGGGACATCAGAAAGGCTAACACCTGTGGCTGTCTTGCCACCTGCTGAAAGTTTAAACCATCTTTTGTGAGAATGTTATATCTCAGATCTCAGTCTCCAGCAGGTGGTCACTAGGGTGCTTTATTAGTCTTTAAAGATGGTCAGTTCTGGAACATAGGTTGTGAACGTCACATTTCAGTCTGGAGATCACTGAGCATCCTGGACCTGTGAAACTAACAAGACGTGATTGTTCAGAGCCTTGTTGTTTGCAGGTCTGTGCATGTGGTTTCCATCAGCCAATCTGTATTTACTTGATGGATACCTATAGTTGTGACCTTTCTTAGAAGCTTGAAATAGAGAGTGCCAGGAAAGGGGTCAGTGTATTTCAGTTAATTGTAGATTTTAGTCATGAAGATATGGAGCAGGGAGCTGGGAGCAAAGTTATGCTAGTAAATTTTAAAGAAAATCTTCTGAGATTATGCTCCCAAATACCTAAACTCCTCCCACTGACCTACCTCTGAAGATATCACCACCTCCCAAGGCGCTTCACTGGGGTCCAAACTTCCAAAATAGGAATCTTTAGCGGGGGTTGGGGATTTAGCTCAGTGGCAAAGTGCCTGCCTGGCAAGCGCAAGGTTGCGAGTTCGGTTCCCGGTACCGGAGAAAAACCGAAAAAAAAAAAAAAAGGAATCTTTAGCGTTGCACTGAAATTACATCCAACCCACAACATGTGGTAATTTTAGTATCTGAGAAGCCGCCATACTATTTTTCATGGCATTTATATGATTTTATCTTCCTACCAGTAGTGCACAGGGGTTCCAGTTTCTCTACATCTTCGTCCACAGTTTCTGTTTTTAAAGTACTTTCTTTGGGGCTGGGGATTTAGCTCAGCAGCAAAGCACCTGCCTGGCAAGCACAAGGTCGTGAGTTCGGTTCCTGGTACCGGAGAAAAACCAAAAAAATAAATAAATAAATAAAAAAAAAATAAAGTACTTTCTTTGTTCATAGCCATTCTAATGGGTATGAGATGGTATCTTTTTTGGTTTTGATTTGTGTTACTCTAAAGATTAATGATGTTGAAGATGTTTTCCTATTTTTTATTGGCCACTTGTATATCTTTTATAACTTTTTATGTAGTTTTGATTTCGTGACTAGATTTTTGTGTGTAAATCATGCATGTCAACATTGAGAACTCTAATGTCTCTTAGAAGTAAAAGTGATGATTATACCAGTAGTTATGATAAGCTTTTTTCTGAACTCAACCAAAACTCCACTGGAAGGGTAGGGGAGAACTTTTAGATAAGTTTTGTAGGGGAAATTTATAAAACTAGGATTCAGTATACTCAGGACTTAGAATTATGGAATGCATGTGAGGCAACTATAATGTCCCAGTGAACAATCAGCCATTGTTAGAACCTTGAAATAAAAAAGTTTTATTTGTTTAATCAGTCCCTTAAAAATAGTCCTGTTTTTAAAAAATGTAGTTTTTAGTTAAGGTTCTTATTAATCCTTGTTAAAAACAAGAGGTCAACTGAGAAGTTAGTATTTGGTAAAGTGGCTAGGATGCAAGTAAATAAACTTGGTATGAACTATGGGTCATTAAGATTTAGTTTATAATACCATACAATGAACATGACAAACTTTTAAGGCATGTGAGAATTACAGTACTTTACTGAAAACTATAAAAGATTGGAATGACTTAGTGACAAACCATATGCCTGGATGAAGAGACTTGATAGTTGGTTACTATTAAAAGTTGATAAAGGGCAGTTCTACTCAATTATACATTCAGTATAATTCCAGTTGATAACAAAATTATTAATTTCTGAAATTTATTTGGAATGTGGGAGGTGAATCAAGACAATTTGAAAGCATTTCAAGTTCCTGATCTGCTATGTAGAATAACAACTAGTGTTAGCTATAATAACAAACCTAGCATTCGTTCAGAAATAAACAAGACTGTTGGAAGAGAAGTGAGGACCCAGTGGCACAATACAACGTCCTGAGGTTGATTGCTAGTAACCAAAAAAAAAAAAAAAAGAATTGAGGACCCAGATTAAAGCTTTCTAAATATGGTGTTTGACCTGTCAATCCTCATTTGTTGGGAAAGAGTGGATTATTTATTTATTTATTTGGTGATGGGAACTGAACTCAGGACCTTCTGCTTGCTAGGCAGGTGATGTCCCACTGAGCTATATCCCCAGCAAGAGTGGATTTCTAAATTAGTGGTGGAAGATTATTAATTTTCAGTTTGGAAGAAAGCTTCAAGTTTATAATATAATTCTACATTGATGAACATTTTAAGTAAAATTTTATAAAAATATTATTGTACAGTATTGAATTTTTGTCTTAGGACATTGAGATTGGAAGCCAAAAAGAGAACAAAATTGGTTTCAAAAAAGGAAGAACTTCTTCATGACAAAGTGTTTTATAAGCTTTATTAAAAGACAAATTCAGAAAAACAGTTCAACCTTGAGCTTTAACATTTATTGTCAAAATATTTTAAATGCTTACTGAAGTTTTACTTCTGATTTTCTGCTGTGTATGAATAGGTGGGAAAAAGTATAAATTTTCATAATTATTTGTAATAGAAAAACATTCGGTTCCTGTGTGTGTGTGTGTGTGCGCGCGCGTGCGTGTGTGTGTGTGTGTGTGTGTGTTACTAGGGATTAAACCTAGGGCTTTTTCACACTGGGCTATATCTCCAACTGTCTGTCTTCTCTGTCTGTTTAATTTTGAGACAAGATCTTGCTTAATTGTCTGGGCTAGGCTCACACTTGTGATACTCCTGCCTCAGTCTCCCACAGTACTGGGATTATAGGCATGTGCCATTATGCCAGAGTTCTCTCTTTTAGTTTAAGGAAATCAAGTAAAAAATTACCTATCTTCCAGAAAGTTCTTTCTTTTAAATGGAAGAATATGTTTTTATATGAACAAAATGCTGTAATGTGTTTTAATGGCTTTCTGGAACATTGTCTCTAAGTAGATTGTTACCATCACTGAAAAGTTATTTACTAAAGTGGATACATATGGAATGTTGATGCTACAAAGTTGTGCAGCCTTATAGCTCTATAAATACTAATGATTAATCTAACTTGAAACGTTTTATCTGTTCAGTCAGGTCAGTTCAGTGAAGATATGATACCCACAGTGGGCTTCAACATGAGGAAAGTAACGAAAGGTAACGTCACAATAAAGGTATGTCAGCTTATTCCTCTGTTCAGTTTTATTACCACGTGTAGCTAAGAATCTTTTTCTCTGGTTTTACTTAAGTATTATTTGCAGTTTCTAGTAATGAATGGGTATATAACAAAAGGCTGTAAATCAGTGATTTTTGTTTCTCTAATCAAAATGTATAAGAGTTGAAATGTTAAATCAGAAACAGCATAAGGGTTAGCAGAAGTTATCCGCAGGAAATAAAGATTTCATTTTAGCCAGGTGTGGTAGTTCACACCTGTAATTCCGGCACTCTGGGAGCCTGAGGAGGAGGATCATAAGTTTGAGTTCTGCCGGGGTGATTTAGGGACTTACTGAAATGCTGTCTTAAAAAAAACAAAGGATCGCTGGGTATAACTCAGTATATAGGCCATGGGTTCAATCCACGGTAATGCAAAGGAAAAAAATAGATTCCATCTTTAGAGTGTTTGGATTGTAATGTTACATTGTTTCATGAATAAACCTTTATTTTGAAAGGTGATAATATTTTATAATGTTGGTAGTTTATTATTTGTGGTAGCAAATACTGTAACCCAGTTTTCTCTTCCTTTACTACTAAGTCTTAAATGGAAACTATAAAAGTAGGAGAAAAAGCCAATTTAACATACTGTAGTTTTCCTTTTATAACAAGTTTAATAGGTTTAAATCCTGGGCTTTTGAGCTGGTTATAAGGAGAAATGTTCCGCCTTTTGGTAGCGGGGGAGCGGGGCCTTTACACTCATCTACATCCCCAGCCTTTTTTTGATTTTTTTATTTTGAGACAGGGTCTTGCTAAGTGCAAAGTTGCCCTGGCATACTTCCTGTATGTTTGCCTCAGCCTCCCAGAGTGCTGGAATTATGGGTGTGTCCCACGCCTGGCTAATTTTACTTGTTTATTGTGGTTGTTGTTTTGGCTTTGTAGTTCATGGGGCTTCTGTAGAACCATTTTGTCTGGTTCATGGGTTTCACAAAATCTGTTCACTAAACTCTGGCTTTTCTGATGAAACACCTAATTTAGTCCTGTATCACACATTTTACTGCTACCCTATGGCTAAATTAGAAGCCTTGAAAATAAATGTCATGATTTAACGGGTTTTGTGTAGCCTATTATCCAGCATGATGCCCAACAGAATAGGAATGATAATAAAATTACTTTGGAAAACATCTGTCTAGGAATGTTGGCTTCCTCATTTATGTCATAATTTTAAAAGATTGGGTTTAAATTAAATTTAAAGGGTCTCTGAACTGTTGTTTTCTTTTTTGGCATTCAAATCTGGATGATGCATGGTCCTATAGAACTTTAAATTAAAGAGCTGGGTGTGGTGGAGCATGCCTGTAATTCCAGCACGGGAGGCTGAGGCAGGAGGATCATGGTGAGTTTGAGGCCAACCTGAGCTACTTAGGACCAGACTGAACTACACAAGGGGGAACCTGTCTCAGAAAGCCAAACAAAATTTATCTGAAAATGTGTATTTTCAGCATTAGAAGTATAGTGGTTAACAAGCAGAGAAAGTATTGTACCTGAACGAAGTTTCTGCCAAACCTGAATTTTAAATGTAGTATAAGCATATTAAATATGGACCGCAAATTTAGAAGTGTCTTCAAGAATTCCCAGATTGAGTAAGTTTGAGCTCAAGTGATTTTTTTTTTATTAGTACAAGTTTGTGATACACAATGAATACATACCCTTATTGTGGGAAAGTTGGTAAATGCACATGTTGCGTGTTAATCCTTTTTTCTTCTCCTGAGTTCAAGATCTTAGGAGCATTTTGTCTCTAACACTGTGAAGTTGAATATATCTCCTTGACACTTTCCCCTTTCTTTTGATCTTTCCTCCAGTGAATGACTTGAAATATTTTTATTAAGAATTGTTTTTCTTGATTTAAAGATCTGGGACATAGGAGGACAGCCCCGATTCCGGAGCATGTGGGAACGGTATTGCAGAGGAGTCAATGCTATTGTGTAAGCTTCTTATTGTATATTTTTGAAGTCAGTTAGGCTTTCAAGAAGGAAATCTTTAATATTTCCAAGGCTCAATCTTTATCTCAAACAATAAATGTATATTTTGCTAATTTCTTTGTGTAATTCAAACATTTAATTTAAAAAATCATAGAATGGGACCTTCATGATTTTTATAGCTAAGGGCTATAGGATATGTTTTACTATCATGTATTAGTCTCTGTGGACATTCTAGCTGAAACTATAGATACTGAGGTTTTCTTTATCTAGGACTTTATTTCGATTAACAACTTGAATAATGTAAATATTAAGTAAAAGTCTATAATTCTAGTTTTCATCAAGGCATATGGAAAAGATATATTTTTTTTTAAGTTACATGATAGATGCTGCAGATCGTGACAAGATAGAAGCCTCTCGAAATGAACTACACAATCTTCTAGATAAACCACAGTTACAAGGAATTCCAGTAAGTAAGGAGTATTTGTTATTTTATGTTTGTAATTATATAGCAATAGTTAATGCCTTGGTGTCCATGCAGGTTGCTTCCAAGGCTCCCCATAGATAAAAAAAATCTGAGAAGTTTTGAGTCCTTTAGGTAGATGATGGTAGTATTTGCATATAACCTATGCACATCCTTTCATACACTTTAAATCATCTTAAAATACCTCATACAGTGTAGATGCTATATACAAATAGTTGTTATACTGTTGTCTTGGTTACTTTTCTCTTGTTGCTGAGGCAAAACACCTGATGGCCAAAATTAAGGAAGAAGGAAAGGTTTATTTGGCTTACCGTTTGTGGAGGTTTTAGTCCGTTCTCAGCTGACTCCAAGGCAGGGTAGCACATGGTAAAGGGCAATAGTTCATTGCAGTGGAAGACAGCAGAAGCAGCAAGAGCCTCTTTTCCTCCCTTGTATTGTATGCTGGCTATCCGCCCATACCCACACCATCTCAGGTGCCTTCCTCTTCAACAAGATGAGCATGTTTACAATGTAAGGATCCTGGCATCTTGCGGAATCACTGAGTTAACCTTCTAAACTTCTCAAGGTGACACAATGAACAACATCCTTCACCCCAGGATGTAGAGCTGCTGTGTTACCTACTTAAACTTCTCGATTCAAGCTGACACAGTGTTATCAACCATAAAAACTGTAATGTTTAGGGAAAACTGGCAAAGTCTGTCATGTTCCATATAATTGAATTTTTTTGTAATAGTTTTGATATTTATTTGGTTGAATCCAAGGATGTACATCTTGAATATATAGAGGACTTGGGCACTGTGTTATAAATTCCCTAACTAGGTATGTACTAAATTATTATGCAGCAGGAACCAACATCAGTTCTGAGGCTATAGTTATGAGAAGTTAATAGAACCATATTGCATGCCATCATGGAACTTATGGTTTGGTGGGAAACATAGATAATTTGAAAACACTTGAATAATTCAGCAGATAATGGCTATGAAGATACAAGAGGCTTCCAGAGGTATAAATTAGAGGAGAGATTTGTTCTTGTTTGAAGGAGAAAAGGAAGGCTCCTCTGAGCAAGTGGTATGTGACCTGAGATCTGAAAGACGTATAGGAATGTGTTTTTTAGGGGAAGAGAATTCCAGGTGGAGGCCCTTTGGTGGTAGGAAGCAGGCATCCTAGTCTTCAGAGCACACAGCAGAGTGGGAAGGGTGAGGTGGAGTATGGCCTGCCGTGCTACAGCTGGGACACTAGAGGCCACACTGGGCAGGACTGTTGGAAAACCAGTGAAGCATCTGTTTTGTTTCTCTTTGTTTCGCTATGTAGTTCAGGCTGTCCTTGAGGTCTCTGTGTAGCTCAGGCAGTCCTCCTGCCTTGACCTCCCAAGTGGTAGGATTACAGTACATGCCACCATGCTTGGCTCCAATGAAGTGTTTTAAAGGGTCAGATTTATGATTTGACTGTAACACTCTGATTAAAATTTAATAGTGAATTGAAGTGGTCAAGAAGTAACTGAGGGATTTAGTTTTAGGAGATTGTTTTAGTAGCCCTGGCAGTACTTTGCGTTAGGGTGGTATCACAGACAAGATGGGAAGAAAGAAATAGATTTTAGAGATATTTAGGAATGTAGTTGTCTTGTACTTTTGTCTCATTGCTGAGGCAAAATACCCACTACCTAAAATTAAGGAAGGAAAGGTTTATTTAGCTCACTGTTTGTGAAGGTTTCAGTCCATACTTGGCTGGCTCGAAGGCAGAGTGGCACATGATAGAGGGTAACAGTTTGTGGCAGTGGAAAACACCAAAAGCAACAAGAGCAAAAAGGGGAGGAGCAGCAGCAAGCCTTTTCCCTCCCTTATTTGAAGCCAATAGAAAGCTAATTGAATGGCCTTTGGCTGTGGTTCAGTGGTAGAGTGTGCATGTATGAGGTTCAATTCCTAGCACCTCAAAAATAAACAAAATTAAAGCTGATTTAAGTAGAAAGGAGTTCATTGGGAGGATATTGGTTAGCTCACAGAATCTCTGGGAAGGATACATAAAGGCAAGCTCAGAAAATAATCTGGAGTAAGGAAAGCGAAGCAGCAGCCAGAGTCATATCCAAATCCACACCATAGCACATATTTAGTGACAGCTTTCGGCTTCGGAACAGTGAACATGGTTGTTCTGATGGGAGATGTGTGTTCAAGGTGATGCTCTGTCACCATCACGGTGTGCTTGCCTCTTGTATCACTGAGTACATTCAGTGTGTCTGTTGACCCTAGAGTATGTGCCTGTGTTGTAGCTGAAAGAAAGCTGGGAAAGAAATCAATTAGGGAAGCACGTAGCTGTGTTGAGAGGAAGGTGTGTATAGCATGTAGGAGAAATGCCAAGTGACTACGAGCACCGGTGACCATGGTGTATGATTAGAAACTCAACCAGGTACAGCTTGAGAACTGGAGTGACTTCATAAAGGTGTGGAGAGGGGTAAAAGTGAGGGAAAGGAAAATAAGTTGAACGAGGATACTGAGATTTGGCCCTTCGCTTTCTGATATCCTGAAGAGTCTAAACCTATGAGAGTATTGGTCTGGAGTTGAGATTGGGAAAATATTAGTGAAAGAAAGAGGCATGACATGGACATGGTAAATACTTCTATAGGCTAGATCAAGGTACATGTTCTGAGTTGGAGTATAGGTGCCGTGAAGTACGAATATATACCCATACTCTGCTTTCTGTGGAGGAGAAAGGATATTGTATGTGGGAAAGAAAATGCTAGTGAGAAGGCTGTTTCTGCTCTTTTGGGGTTTTGTTTTGTATTGTTTTTCTTTCCTTCCTTGACCTTTGCAGTGAGCTACATCCTTGTAATACATGGGGTGAGGGGAGGAGGGAGCCCATGGGGTGTAGGGAGGAGAGACCACCAGGCTTATGTAAAGACAATGTGGCGTGGAATTTATTGTGCTTGGGTACAGGCAGGCAAAAAGCAAAAAGACCCTTTGTAGGGAACAAAAAGAATTGTGCCCCTTTTATAGAGATGAAAAGAAGGCAAGGGACATTAAATGGGAAGATTTTAATAAACATCTGTGATCAGAGTTCTCTGGCAGTCTTGTACCTCAGTGGATAGAGTCCTTGAAGGTCCGGTGTAAATTTTTGAGTGGTTCCAGATGTCCCCCAGACCTGCAAAATTGCTTGTCTTATCTTTTCTTTACATTATCCTGTGCTTGCTGATGACAGCTTCAGTGCAGAGCTGTTCCGTACTGAGAGCAGAGCTTCTGCTGAAGGTAGTTTGGGGCCTGGGGAGTCAGGTCCAAACAGAGGCTTACAATCCCCAGCTATTTTTTATTTTTTACTTTGAGACAGTATCTAAGTTGCTAAGTTCCTCATGACAGCCTTGAACTTGAAATTCTCCTTCCTCAGTCTCGCAGAGTGGTGGGATTCCAGGCGTGCACTCCCATGACTGGTTTTGTTCTCCTAGCCTTTGGAACACTTATTTAACAATCAGATGATAACACTTGTTCACAGAGTACTGTATCTGACTACTTGATTCAACTTGATGTTCACACTTATCCATTGGATTAGATTATTTATTTGTAAACGTTACTCTGTAGGATGAGTCCTGAATGTGTGTACATATGTGTGTATGACTGTATTTATGGTGCTGGTTATTCAACCAGGAGCACGTGGTCTGTCATTGGGGTACACCCCCAATTCCTGGATTCAGAATTTTAAATCCTATTTACCTCCTGGAGTGGTGCCACAGACCTGTAATCCCAACACTCAGAGGGCTAAAGCAGGTCAGCCTAGGCTACATAGAGACCCTGTCGCAAGGGAGGGTGGCAAACAAACAACAAAGAAAGAAGGAAAGAAAGAACTCTAGTTACACGTTCATATGATGAGTTTGTTGCCTGATAAAAATGGCTTTTCAGTCTGGGGATGTAGCTCAGTGGTTAGAGTGCTTACTAAGCATTCTTCAAGCCCTGGGCTTGATCCCTAGCAACACACACAGGTGTGCACACAACACACATGCACTTGAGGTTTCCCTGCGCTTGGATAAGGTCATACTCACATCTGATTATGATTGTTGAGTACCAGCAGCAACTATGGCACACATCTGGAATCTCAACATTTTATAGGCTGAAGCAGGAGGATCACAAATTTAAGGTAGAGCTGGGCAGTTTGGCAACTGATCAAGATCTTATTTCAATGTAAATGTTAAAAAAGGGTTGGGAACTGGGCTACAGCTCAGTGCAAAGGCCCTGGGTTCAATCCCCATTACAACCAAAAAAAGGCATAGACTTAGGTGGTTTTGTTTTTTTAAGGTGCTAGCAAGTGAACCAGGACCTTGCACAAGTGCTCTACCACTAATCTACAGCCCTAGTCCAAGACTTACAGTATTATTCTTTTTAAAGACATCAAGAGATTTATTGGGCAGAAACTTAAGAGTTTCTCAGTGAAATATAGTGCAGGCTCTTGAGAGGCTCTTGCTACATTCTGGAGCTGGGAATATTAATATGTATTTGGTGGTAGAAATCTGTGAAATTTGAATCTATGGAAAGTTTCAGCTTGGGTCTTAGGAAAAGGGTGACCTACCCACAGACTAATAATGGCCCAGTCATAGGGAAGATCTCTTTCACAAGTGAAGAAAGATGGTCTGTTCATAGATAAAAGTATCTATTTGCAGTAGAAAAGGGAATGGCTGAATACATTTGCAGGTGAAAGAGAATTGTCTAGGCTTACTGTTTTTGGGGCAGCAAAGACATATATTTTAGATGGGGCTTGTGTCCTTAAGCTGCAGTTTTTATTTTAAAATTATGATTTTTCTTGTCACCCTTCCACCTATGTTTATTTCTTCTGTCCTACATCATTCCCCACAGGACATGGATTCTTTATTCTTAAAGGGGTGCAGAAGGGCCAGTGGTCTGCCTTCTTTTTTTTTTTT